AGTCAGGAGTAGGAAGGCTTAACGGTCATGTCTGAGTGGTGGAGGGAGCTGTCATTACCACAATGTGCTCAGTCAGGCTGAAAGTGCAGGCTCTTCACAACAATCAGCTCTACGTTATTAATAGTTACACTCTTTAGTCAGTGCAGTAACAAAATGCTGGGCTAAAATAAAGTAATATAAATAAAAAACTCCAAATATCCTCCAGTCATGTGCCGTTGACAGAAGACGGCCCCAACCCCTCATAGGAGCAGACACAAAACCACTACGAGCAGCACGTCTGCATTTTCTGCAGTCGCTTTCTGTTTGTGGTGATTTTTGCACTGCTCAAACTATTTGACTAAATGTCTCAGTAAACACACACCTGGTCACTTTGCTTCAAATTGTGACCTACTTTGTGTAGTTTTTAAAATCATTCATGTTGTTGGTGACGTCTCAGCACAGGCACAATATGAATGTGAGAGAAGTGGGTCACAGCGCGCTGTAGTGTATCTGTTGCCAGCTTTACCTACCGGTTAATAAGGCGAGCTCTTCTGTTAGCACACTCCTTGAATGGCTCGATGATTAAATCTTGGCTCACTTTTAACTTTTTAAAGCTGAATGAGGATAAGACTGAGGTGATAGTATTTGGTGATTCTGTTGGTTCACCTTCTGTTGACTTGGGCTCATTGGCTCAATATAATAAAAAGAATATTTTAAAAGGTATTAAGATAGATCTTTCAACTAAGACAGTTGGCTAAAGTAAAAGCATTTGTCTCTAGACAGCATTTTGAGACGCTTATTCATGCTTTTATGACTTCCCTTTTGGACTATTGTAACTCGTTGTATCTTGGGGTCGGTGAGTCTTCTATCACTCGCCTCCAGATGGTCCAAAATGCAGCAGCGCGTCTTTTAACAGGTACAAGAAATATGAGCATATCTCTCCAGTTTTGGCCTCCCTACATTGGTTACCTGTTCATTTTCGGGTCCATTACAAAATTTTACTCTTTGTTCTTAAATCCCTTCATGGCTCTGCACCATCCTACTTATGTGATTTGCTTCATTGGCATACACCCACACACTCTCCGAAGGTCAACAAATCTGTTTCTCTTAAGTGTCCCAAGAACAAAGCGTAAGCTTAGAGGCAATCGAGCCTTCGCAGTTGCTGGTCCCAAACTCAGGAATGATTTACCACTGTCCATTAGACAAGCCCTCTACCCTGTCTGTTTTTAAGTCTCTTTTAAAAACTCATTTATTTTCCCTGGCATTTTGATATGTTATTTTTGTTGATTTTAGTCATTTTTTATATTGATTATATTTTATATTGTTGTTTGGGGGTTTATAATTTATACTGTTTTATTGCAATGTACAGCACTTTGGCCCACTCTGGTTGTTTTTAGTGCTTTATAAATAAAATTTGTATGGTATCTGTGAGCGCCCACAGTAACGTGTTTCATCGTGTCCAGTGCTTGTTCTTCCCACTCCTCTGAAGACCCCCTCAGCTGTCAGTTTATTAGGGACACCCAGTTTAAACTGTTGCAGTCCTGCTGCGGTTAGATTCCGCTGACATTTACACTTTATCACCCTCCCCTCAGAGTTCTTGGAACAGTATTGAACAACGCTGGATATGGAATAAACATTGTTGTACTAGATGGTGAGTCTTGAATCGATAAACTGCTTTTGTTTCCACAACTGATCCTTTATGATAAAGTGGCTGCAGCTATATTCACAGCTCTGTCTCTGACAGGTACAAAAGGAGAGGTCATAAAGACCGGGCACTTTGACATGTATGGTGGTGGTAAGCAATCACAGGGGTTTTACTTCTCATACTTGAACTCCCACGTGGTTCTGAGGACTCAGATGATTTGAGACACTGTTGGAGGATTTAAACCATGTGGACTTTGTGTTGCAGATGTGAAAACTCTGATTGACTTCCTGAAAAGCATTGAGAAGAGCTCTATTGTGCTGATGGCGACCTACGATGACTCTTCAACAAAGTAAATGTCTCTTTTCTACAAACACCACTTACTTGTTGTGTTAGGAGAGAAGCGTTATCATGGGGCCCAAAGCAGGACCCTGTTTGCTTTCATACTCTTCTTAAAATCTTCCTGTTAGAGCTGGGAGCGAACAGGCTTCACTAACTGGTGTCACTGATCAGACACAGGAGCATGAAGAGAGACTGTTCATATCTGTTTCTCTGGAAAATTACCAGCACAATAACGTGACACCTTTCCCCTGCCCAGTCTGCTGTTCCAGCAGCTGTCGATGACTCCCACACTGACACTGCGAACACAGGAGCCTTGCATTGCAGAAGAGGCAGTTGTTCTAAATAGTGGAAGCTGCAAATGATTTACATGTTTGGAATTGGTTCGAAAAACATGTTTGTTTTTGGCAGGTTAAATGATGAGGCGAGGAAAGCGATTGCAGAACTGGGAAGTTCTCACATCCAGTCACTGGGCTTCAGAGACAACTGGCTGTTTGTTGGTGGGAAAGGAGTAGCAGGGAAGAGCAACTTTGAGAAGGTAAACACCATCAGCTCAGATGCACTTTATTTAATCATCTTTCAACCGCAAATAGACTCTTCCCTGGGTTCATCGTCATGGTCAAGATCCCGGAGTTTCCAAACATACGAGATACTCAGAATGAATTAGAGAGAAGTTTCCATTTAATGTGTGATGTAATGTAAAACATGATGGTGTGTATTCAGTGTTGTCGTGCAGTCTTCTAAATGTTTTTAGGCTACTTAAGAGGGAATGTAAGGGAATGGTTTGACATTTCTAGTTGTTTTCCCCCGTTTTCAGTCGTTATGCTAAGCTTCAGATTTACTGTACAGCCTCAAACTCAACATCTGAGTCTCCGAAAGAAAGAAAGACAAGAAGAGGCTTTCACCAAAGCTGTCAAGCTGTTGCTTTAAGGGTTGTAGGGCTTTAACCAATGACAGTATAAATCTTGAAAAGAATCAATTTAATATCATGATACGTGACGAGTAAAAACATCAAACCCCCACACTGAAGAAGCTGCGACTACAGAATGTTTGGAATTTCTGTGCCACAATACTTTTCTGTCAACTAATCATTGTATCAGCTGATCGTTGCAGTTCTACAGACTATGGTGTCCTCAAGAGTTTCATCTGGTTTCTTGTTGATGTTGTTTGGCCTCGTTAAGAATCATTACTGTGCTTCTGTCTGTTTTAGTACCTTAAGAACGACCAATCAACCAATAAATACGACGGCTGGCCCGAGATCATTGAGCTGCAGGGATGCATCCCCAGTTTCTTGGAGTAACCTGGCTTGACAATGTTCCAGAGACCTACAGCCTGGTATTTACATCTGCTTTGGCCAGCTGGGCTGGATGAGCTGGTTTTTCTCTTGACAACATAATGACAAGTACATTCAGGTAACTCCGCCGGCTCTCCAGCTATGTCTTAGACAGAATGTGAAACAGACTGACGGACATTTCCCTCACATTTTTATGAAGTACGGTATTCAGAATGCTCTGGATCATCTGCCCTCATTGCAGAATAATTCAGTGACTATAAGGACTTGTGTGGCACTCTTCTTTTGATACTGATGATTGGATATTTGTGTCTAATAGCTACTTTCTCTGGGTTTTGATGTTTCTGGTGACAACTGGTTCAAATGATCTCTCTGCTTCAAACAGTTGTTGGTGACAGTTTAAAGACATGTTTCCAGATGGTCGGTTAAGGCGTTTCTCAGGGATCTGTGTACTATCTATGGATGACCACAGTTTACTGGACCTCTGTACCTCTGCCGTCTTGGGGTTCTGCGTAACGACTCTGTGTTACCAGTGTTTGGAGTTTCTTTTGCAACAACTTATCGGTGAACCAGAGCGGTTTTTTTTTGCTACTAATAAAGCTCTTAACTTAACGTGCCGTGTCCCTGATTTGCACTTCATTCATCCACTCGAGTCATGACATCTAACCTTTAACCATGGATGCTGTCAACCACAGCGCCATTCAGTTCGTGCTGCATATATATGAAAAGGTCAAAGGTCATCACTGGCATCTAGAAGGCATCAACATGCCTGTGTCTTCATCTCAAGGCCTTGCTGTCTAAGCTGCACAGATATTCAGCTACTGTAGAAGAGTTCAGACTCATAACCATGACCCCAGATCACACGAGACATTGGCTTTAAAAGTTCCTCAGACCAGACTGGTTTCCAGTAACACCTCGCTACTGGAATGAGCTACAGCACAAACCCCAGTTAAAAACACTCCTCTGAGAGCATGCAAAGTTTTATTAGCTACTGTTTTGAACAGTAGTTGTGATTGTTTCAATTAGTGTTATTGTACATGTCTTTGTGCCGTTGACCAGCGTTGTGAGCATGGGAGCTCTTCACGGTCGGAACGAACAGGAGGAAAGATTACAGTGACCAAAGCCTGCACCTTTCTATTTATCTGCTGCATGTCACTGAAGAGGGTGGGAAAAGGCAGGCAGGTGCCTTTAGCTTTACTGCAAACAGGAGCCACCCTCAAGTATTACACAAGGTCAAGTGAATATATGTGTAAAATTACATTGTGATTTTTATCTTGTTATACACCCATAACTGATATGTACAGCACATACAAAACCACCTGTGGACTTTAGTCCTGACTTCTATTAGTTCATTGTCACATCTTTGTTCCTGTTCATGTAAGTAAACAGAACATAGGCATATGATATTTATCAACTGTATGATTTCATAAGAACAAGCAGTAACATTTACCAGTGCAGCCCGTTAGGGTAAGTTTTGTTGCATAAAGCATTAAAATACTGACTGGTACCTGTTGGTATTTAAATACAGGTACAGTGGAGCAAGAAGGTAACAAAGAAATAAATGAAAGGTGAAACAGATAAAGTCTGTTTTGATAATACTGGGTGCCTACAGGGTACTTCACTGGAGAAAAAGAAAAATGTTTGGGAAAATGATGTTAACCAAGATCAACTTCATGTTGTCTCCTTAACTCTGTCTGATCAGTCTAGCTTCTACAGATGATCCCAGTCCCAAGTCACAAGCACGGACCATCTGCTTTTCAGTGCAAGGTTGTGTAAACTGTGAAGGAGGACAACTACTGCTTGGCATTGGTCGTATGGCTCTTCCTGCACCTCCTAATCTGGTTTATTGGTTCAGGCATTTCCTAATTGTGGCATATTGCATTAGACACAACCCAGCCCAGTACTGAGAAAACTGTAAATAAATCCCTGTGATGCTGATGTATTTATAATTTGCAGTGTTGAAATCTTTTAGTCCTGTGCTGTAGCTACATATTCAGAATGTTTTCTGTCTATATTACACATGGACGTACGTCTAAGGACCAGAGAAAAGACCTTAGAAGATCCAGTAAAAACTGCCATTGAACGGCAAAAAGGAATGTGGGATTCATGTCTAAAGGCACATACTGATAGCACTAAAGATCCTGCAACTGGAAAAACAGCATCTGGTGTAGTATTCAAATGATCAAATCTGGCAAAAGCTGGGGCTTCCTGATCCATATGTCAGTATTCACAGCAGAACCTGCGGCCATCTTATGGGCCTTCTGGTGGATAGAGAAGACTTAACCAGTGGTGACTTTCATTTGTAGTGATTTGGTTGCTGCTTTGGAAGTCATAAAACAGGTGAGGTCAAAGGTCCGCTGTGGGCTGGTAGGAGGAATGAGGATGGCAGAATACATAAAATTGGGTAAATGGTCGTATCCTTGTATGCTGCTTTTCTATGCACTGCAGCACACTCAAAGCATTTTCACACTACTTACCTCATTCACACACTGGTGACATCACCGGGAGCAACTTGGGGTTTAGTGTCTCGTTCAAGGACACTTCAACATGTGGAGTGGAGAAGGCGGGAATCAAACCCCCACCCTTCCAGGTAGAGAATGCTCAGCTCTACCTCTGGTGCCACAGCCAGGCCCAGGTGTAGTGTTAGAGACTATAAGGCAGGATTGACAGAAGTTGGGGAACTGTTTTCACTTTAACAGCTTTGCTGAACTTGGAGGATTATAAACAAAATCAAAGAAACTGGATTTCCTTCATGCCACTGGACTATATCGACGGATATGGGTTGGGTGGGAAAATATGACCATGACCACTTTCGAACGGAAGAGGGCGGCAACACACCGTTGCTGCATCTAGACTGCCGCACTGAGGAAGAAGAACAAGAAGAGGCGGAGGAGGACGGGGCACGGTTGGTGAAACGTTAGCAATGTGTTTTGTTGAGTTGCTTATTAAATAAATCGTAATTATCCGTTTTATATGGGCAGTTTTCTAAAATGGCCACGTTAGTCCTGGACAACGGAGCTTATACGGCAAAAATAGGATACAGTCAAGAGAAAGTCAGGTAAGTGGAGTTACATTAGCTTCCTTGCTAACGTTACTGCTAAAAATAGTAATTATAATTATTATTATATTGTATTTGAAATGCTCAGGTCTCAGACTGAGGTTCGGCATAGACTCAATCTTCCAAATGTGTAACTATTATACCAGCAACATTTTAGAGTTGCCACGGGGTGTTTTAAGTTTTTGTTTTAATTGTAGGTTAATTCTGACATTAAAAACCAACGCCGTGGAATACTGTGCATTGGTGTATTTATATATCACAAGGTTCCCAGAAAATAAAATGTTCTCACTGTGACCTTCCCTTTCTGTCTCCCTCAGCGTCATCCCAAACTGCCAGTTTCGCTCCAAGACTTCCAGAATCAAAACCTTCACTGCCAATCAGCTCGATGAGATCAAAGATCCTTCAGGTCTCTTTTATATCCTCCCCTTCCAGAAGGTCAGATAGCTTTACAACATCAGGCCACATCTGTACTGTGTTTAATAGTTAGAGATTCTTTATCAACTGCTCTGGCTTGCTCTTTCTTTTCAGGGTTATCTGGTCAACTGGGATGTCCAGAGGAAAGTGTGGGATCATTTGTTTGGAAAAGAGATGTTCAAGGTGTTTACTTCATTTTTGTTCACAGTGTTCTTTACTGACCAAGGATTTTGATTTTCTCCCCCTGGAAATGTGGAATATTTTAATCCCAATGTTGACTAATCTAATCAGACCTCATCACCCTCTTCTCTGCTGGTGTTTGTGTTTCCTGGGTGCAGGTGGAGTTTGCAGACACCAGCGTCATCATCACAGAGCCGTACTTCAACTTCACCTCCATTCAGGAGTCGATGAACGAGATCCTGTTTGAGGAGTACCAGTTCCAGTCAGCTCTCAGGATAAATGGTGAGTTGCACTGGGCATCTAAGAAAACTAGTGAGAGCATGCTTCCTGCTCAGGTTCTACCGCAATAGGTGACACAATATGCTCACATCATCTATAACAGTTTGATACCGAATAGTTCAGACCCACAGAGCACTCCAGCTGATTGCTATTGCGCCTTTCAGTACCCTTCTAAATAAAATCAAGTGTGAAAAGAACATGGGAAATCATCTCAGATCCCACTTCCAGCTGTTGCCCTCTAGGAGGCGTTGTCCCTGCCCACCAAAACAAACTGTTGCAAAAATAGCTTTTCCTTCACTACAGTAGGACACTGAACATTTTAGCTTTTCAATTTTGGATAATATGTTGTGTGATATTTAAACTGTGTGTCCATGTGTTTGTGTCATAATGTTGATTGAACTGTGCTGTCACATGCTGCAGCACTAACACATTCTCCTAGTGTTGCTGTCTGGCCATTAAGCTGAGGTCTGGGAGCGTTATTCACCTGACAGCATCCGTGGCTCAAACCACGGTTCTCCCCAGAAAGACAGTAAAGGATCAGTTCTCAGAGGGGGAGTTTTTTTTTTTTTTCAAAATTTCATTCAGCTATAGGGTAAAATGTTCTAATTTCCTTTGTGAGTTTGCAGCTCTGTCTAGTAAAATATCCTGAAACCTTCAGTAGAAACTGTTTAAAACAGATAAAAGAAATGTTTGTTGCTTGAACTCCAGTGTGACTTGACTTCCTCTTCATCCTCTTCATGTGAAAGCCACTGGGTTCAGTCGTCTGTCTTTTATCTCTGCTGTGTCTGTGTTAACCCAGCGGGCTCTCTCAGCGCTCATCACTACTTCAGCACTAAATGCTCGGAGCTCTGTTGTTTGGTGGTCGACACCGGATTCTCCTTCACCCACATCGCCCCCTACTGCCGCAGCAAGAAAATGAAGGAGGGCATTCACAGGTCAGAGCTCATTACCATGTAAGAGAATTAATGTAACGACAGCAGCAGCAAGCTAAATTGATTATTATTTTGTATGTAGGATCAATGTAGGAGGGAAGCTGCTGACCAATCACCTGAAGGAGATCATTTCTTATCGGTAAAGCCACCTCACCCAGTGCTGCTGTAGCTCTGCTTACTGCAAGTTTTCTTGTTGTTTGGCTTGACTCTTTGGGCCTCACTTGGTAGAGCAGTGGTTGTTTCCACTTGTAAATGATGAACATGAAAATGAACAGAGGGTTTTTTAATCTGTAGATACAGTGGTTCTTTACATTAGTTGGATTTGGTTGAAGCAGCTAATTATGTCATGAATAAAAACAAAAATAAAAGAATCCCTTTCTTACAGCCAATTACATGTCATGGATGAAACTCATGTGATCAACCAGGTGAAAGAGGATGTCTGCTACGTGTCCCAGCACTTTTACAAGGACATGGAGATTGCACAGTAAGCCCAGACACGCCGCAGCACCCCACACAGTGTATTTAACCAAACATATTTCAGGTTGGTCCTACAGTTTTAATTTAAAGCTTATTATAACTGCAACAATTAGTTGATTGACAAAAAAAATGTGTTGTTTGTTTTTGTTATTTTTAGGAAAAACTGACATTCTCTGGTTTGAGCTTATGGGGAGTTTTTGCTGTTTTCTTTGGTGTATACAGTAGCAAATTGAATATCTTTGGGTTTTGGATTGTTGGTCAGACAAAGCAAGCAGATTGAAGAGAAATGGTAAATGTCACTTGGTTTTACTCAGTTTTATAGACTTAATAATTCACAGATTATAAGAGAAGATAATCAGATAGTAATGGAAAACAGTTATTAGTTGCAGCCCCAGTGTGAAGCCGCTGAGCAGAGCAGCTTTACAGCACTGCATGTCCATCCTGTTTATTGTGGAAGCTACAGTTAGGCTAACATGTATGTGTAAGTTCTCAACATAATAAAACACAGGGAAAAACAAATACTTAATTTCTGCCTTATTTTTTACTTCTTGTTCTTCCTGCTTTCTTTGGTTTATGCCCATGCTGTGATGATCACCAGAAACAAAGAGAATGTCCTCAGTTTGTTGGGCTGACTGGGAACAAAATACTTTTTTCAGTCTAACCTGGAGTTAATATCTCATTCAAAGCGCCCAGTTAGACGAGGCCAGGACTTTCCCTGCTGTCCAAAGCAGCCTGCAGCCTGTAATGCTCTTGTCGGGAAGCTCCTGATAGTTTTACCTTTGGCGGTTGAGTGACCACTCTCATGTTGTATTGTCAGGTTGAAGGGGGAGGAGAACACTGTGATGAGGGATTATGTTCTTCCAGATTTTAGCTCCATTAAAAAAGGCTTCTGCAAGGTGAGAAATCATTGAAGTTTTCAATATTGTCGGTGTGACGTGTTGGTGGATTCATGGTTGTACTGAATGTTGCTGCTGTCTATCGTGCTCTTTCTGTCCACCAGCCTCGAGAGGAGATGGTCTACAATGGAAAGTATAAGACAGGAGAGCAGATCCTGAGGTTGGCCAACGAGCGCTTTGCTGTTCCTGAGATGCTCTTTCACCCCTCGGACATCGGCATCCAGGAGATGGGCATCCCAGAGGCCATTGTCCACTCCATCCAGTCCCTCCCAGAAGGTCAGGTGCATGTCCTGCTCAGGAGATCAAGCAAAATCCAAGCACTAGTGTGGCTTAGACTCCAAACTCCTTTTATGTCCTCATGTAGGACACACATTCATTTGCAATTCCCACTGTGTGTATGAATGTATATGAGAAGCTGCTAATGCCTTCCTCTGCCATCAGAGATGCAGCCCCACTTCTACCAGAACATCGTCCTGACTGGAGGAAACACATTGTTTCCAGGCTTCAGAGAGCGATTGGAGGCAGACCTACGGTCCCTCGTCCCGGCACACCTGCCTGTGTCAGTCCTGCTACCTGCAAAGTAAGTGACTACAACAGTGAGCCTGGGTCTGAAAGTGAGAGCTCTGATTGTTCCCCACAGCTGCCACACGCAGCTTCACTGCTCAAATTTACTGGAAAGGATTCAAGATAATGTCACCACAAACAGAAGTCCTATTTGTCTGGCATTAATAATGTGGTTAGTAATGGTGTTGTCTTGTTCTGCAGTCCCATCTGCTATGCATGGGAAGGAGGAAAGCTGCTAGCCCACAACCCGGACTATGATGAAATGGTGGTGACAAGAGAGGACTATGAAGAGAACGGACACTGTATTTGTGAAGAAAAGTTTGATATTTGACCTCTGCGTCATCATGGAGGTGAAGAAATTCTGCATCTAAGACATGAGTCGTGCCGTCCTCCCAGCAGGCTCTTGTACTGTAATTCTGACACAGGATCAACTGGATTTGCCTTCAAAGTCATACAGCAAAATGGATTCACACGACAAAAATGAAAAGTTTTCTACAGTAGTTTTATTTTTATTTCAATGTGTTATTCTTGGGTATTCCAAGATGCTTCTTTTCATACGTGTGTATATACTGATGAGTTTTCTGACCCATTAAGATGTTTTGGAGCCAGCAGACTTTGTGACCTCAAGTGCTTAATTTATTATAGTAAAGTCTTAAATGAAAATGTGTTAAGACTACAGGTAGATCCTAAGTATGACTTATTACATGTTGAAATACTTTAGGACTGCAACTAACAATTCTTTCTGTAATTGTCTATGAATCTAGTGGTCCTTGATTTGATTACTCTGAACCGTCTACCTGACGGCAGCACTTCAAACAGTGAACGTCCTGGGTGTGAAGTGTCCTTAATGATGGTCTGAGCTTTTTTGAGGCAGCGAGAACTGTGTAGTTCTTCCAGAGTGAGGAGAGGGCAGCCGACGATCTCCTGGGCCGTATTAATGACCCTCTGGATTGCTTTCCTCTGAGCCACTGTGCTGCTGCTGTACCATACACATATACAGCTGATATGAACTATAAACTAGGTCTTTGACCTAGAAATCTAGTCCAGTTGATTTTTTCAGCGTATAACCTATACTGCTGTTACTATACTATACTGTATATACTGCTTTAACTAATGTAAAGTTGTTTTGTCAATTTTTTTCGTGTGTGTGTGGTATATATGCAGTCATCTGGGGCAGGTTCATACACTGATCAGGCATCACATGACCGCCTCTACGTCTGTAAGTACTTCAATGCATTTTTGTTTTACTTCCAGCAGAGGGAGACACTTGAACACAGCACAGAGGTGTCTCTATATTTTGTCCTGCACATTGACATACATGAGAAGGTCAGAATATTAGGAACACCTCTGAATATGTGGTCCAGTACAACACCACCTTTAACTATGACCTCATTAATTAACATATAATTGAATTTATACATTTATGACAATCTCGCCAAAAACAAACATTTTGAGCTTCATGGACACAGATGTTAAGGCAGAAGTGTGGCATTGAAGTGCATACAGATGTACAGGTGGTCATAATGTTACGCCTGATCAGTGAATTATTCTGTCAGAGGAATAACCTGTCAAAGTGAATAACTTCTGGCTAATAGCGCCAACTTTGTGCCTTACTCGGCAGTCCGCCATCTTGTCTGCAGCTAGGTTCCGACTGTTGTCCCTGTGACTGGTTGTTCCCGGCTCGCTCTTTTTCTGGCGGGAATTGGGCTGCAATTAATTGTATCTTAGTTTGGCTGGTTATATTTAACAGTTAAATAAGCCATTGAAATCTAACTGCGCTCAAGTGAAGCTATAAACCAGAATAGAGTTCCGTTTTAGTGGAAAACGAATTGAGGGGGACATTTATGTACTAATAGCTCGGTACATTATCTGTGAAAGCTAGCGCTAACATAGCTGGGTCACATTAGCCGCTATTAACAGGGTCCAGTTTGTGTTGTTTATTGGGCTGAAAAGTTTAACCTTAGCGTTAACCAAATTAATGCCAGCAGACAAGGTTGGAAGAATGGCACCAGGGAGAAAACTGATGAAGAAAAAACACACCGAGGAAAAACTAAATAAAAACGTTTTTGATTTTACTCCAGAAGATGAAAAGAAAGAGCTGAGTGGTTCAGAGGAAGATGGCCGAGAAGGTAAGTTAGCGTTAGCTAGGTTAGCTTTTCACGCCTGTTTAGCTAGTTAACTGGTAAAATGGCATTAACTCTGAATTTTTATCATTTTTGCTGTACTAAGCTGAAGCTCCTATATTGGACAAGCAGGGGAAGAAAAGACCTGCAGCTGACTTTGAACCGGAGGAGGCGGTTGGGTACTGTTAACGCAGCATTAATACTGTTTTATTACAGGTGTACTCATACTGTGGAGTAACTAATGTTGGTGTAAGTTAGGCTTAGAAAATACATTAATATTACAGTTTTACAATACTCTATAACAAGTAAAAGTTGAGCTTCCAAAATCCCACATAAATAAAAGTACAATTCAGCAAAATGTACTTCATTTATAAAAGTAGAACTATTCTTTCTGCTGTAAAATGTCTGTGCTGACTGATAAATGAGTTACTAACATTGTTTGATAATCCTGAATCAGCTCTTTTTATGACTTTAGATACAGTTAAACAGTTTAGTCTAGACGCAGCCTAGGGCTCGGGTTTTTTGAGGATTTTCAAGCAAAAAGGTTAGGAACAAATACAAGAAAATTAATAGTTACGTTCAACCTTCATGTCCTAGTTAATTTACACTGCAGTTGAAAACTCCCGAGTTCTAAATAACTGTACAGAGGTTAGTGTAGCTGCACTGGTCTAGTTCTAGTTTAAGGATCGCCACGCTTCATACAGATGTCTTTAGAAAGTTTTATTTCCCTCTCTGCTCCTCAGACACCGTGAAAACTACAAACAAAGCAACAATAAACCATCTTAAATATACAAATAGAGGCAAATGAACAACAAGCACAAATACAATATATACACATTTTACCGTTTGCACCTCTAGAACCATGTACAGATAACTTTGGGCTGTATGTCTCTTCTCTGTCCTCTCTGTCCATGTTGTCTCTTCTCTGTCCCATAATGCCACATTTGGCGCCCCTCACTCAACCCTCTCAAATGAAACCTGTCATTTGGACAGTTACAGTTAGTAGCTTAATTGGGCTGTCTATGGTCTCATTGTTAGGACTTTAATTGTAACTTGTCACCTGTCAAAGTAGTTGCAAACACTGATTTAATATTTAACAATGTATTTTGTGAAATTGTGTTTTTATGTCAAATCTCACAAAATCTTAGTCTGGACAGTAACTATTCACTCCAGCTGTGACATAAATGTAAATACTCAAGAAATGTGCAAGTACCACTAGACTACAGTACTTGTGTACATGTACTCAGTTATTTTCCACCATTGTATGAAAATAACTTTTTTTTTTCTTTCCACTCCTTCAGTAATGAGGTACAGTCCATGTTGGAGAGATTTGGGGGTAAGCGGCCTTATTAGTGGTGTGTGACTCTTTTTAATGTAATTAGTGTTTTACCAAATGGCTTCCATGTTTTTGAATATATTCTGATATTGATATATGTATATAGTACAGCATACATACAGAATGACAATGCATTCTGCCTCACACCATGAAAAGGGTCGAATATTGTCAAGTCAAGATTGGCACTGAAAGGTTTGTTGTATTTTTAGTCTTGTGCACTTGCTCTTTGATCAGGCATACAGTATATCAGTATAACCAGAATATTAACAGGTTTATACTTTGTTTAGTTCTTGTAAGGCTCTTTGTGTTAAAACACTCACTCACATTAGAGCAGGTACATTAACATTTTAATGTAGAAAACAATGTTAGGAAAATGTGAGAAAAAAACTAATTTTGTTAAAATCATGAATCATAATCTTTAAAAACTGTGACTATACTGAGCCGTACTCATCAGTGTGACAGAAATGTCTGCTAAGCTGTGTTTTATTGTCTTCCAGCTGATGTAAGCAAGGTGATGCAGGCCAAGAAGAAACGTCTGGAGTGTCTGACAAAGAACTACATGAAGGGAAGCCAAACCAAACTGGAACAGTTGTGGAACAACTATCACAGTCAGAGGTTTGTCTTTGTCCCTCTGCAACAACAGGAAAGTGAGGATACCATTGATTTGTGTAGGAAATTAAGTCAGGGAGTAGTAAAAGAAGATATGGGTCACATAACTGAGCATAGGGCCAAAAGAACAGTTACTTGATCATTAAAAAAAATAGCTTCATTTTCAGTTGGTAGTTTTCACCTACAGTAGAACTGGGTGTTTTTGTCTTCATGCTGACTAAAAAGCATGTCTGTGTTAATCCAGGCAGAAGATGACTCAGCAGTACTCACAGCAGGTGTCCGTGGCGCTGCAGCAGTGGGAGGCTGAAGCTCAGCAAGCTGAGGAGCAGGAGGAGAAGCTTAACGTCAGCTCACTTTCACTGTGGTTTAATAGGTTTTGGTGCCCTGTGACCTCTAGTGCTGTTATCTTGTAAAAACAGCCCCAAAACAAGCCAGGTTCTGTGCTGTGAGGTACTTCGGTCTGTGGATGGATTTTTTTTTTTTAAGCAATTTAAACATGGCTGATCATTGAGTCGCATATACTCATTTCCATCAAAATATATTGTTATCAGTCACTGAAGATGCCAGTGTTTGCTTCGGTTGCCCTGCTAGAGTTTGTCCATACTGTAGCACAGGACACTTAACCTACACACCTTGTATTATAATCAAAATATAACAAAATGAACACTTGTATAGTCTTTTCAAGTGTACTAAAATGTATTATGGTGGTTAGTCTCCTTTTGTTGTGTCAAATTCACCAAACCATCCTGGTTTGAAGTCTGTTCCTACCACCACACAATGAATACTGCTAATAATACTACTGCCTTCTTTTGTTCTTATGTTGTTTTATTTTGCACTGGGCATCACACTGTGATAGATGAATACATCATGAACATAATTTTGAAGGGTTAAAACCATTTGTCATTTCCAGATGCAGAGGGCAGGCAGTGAAGATTTCCTTGTTTGTGGTGGTAATTTGAACAGATCAGAGAATTAAACTCTGAGGCCAAAAGAAAGCCTAAAACATCTTGTCATTTTGCTCCTGTTCCTGTCCTGAGCAGTCAGATCCATACAGATGATGATTCAGTAACTAAAGGCCTTGGCAGCATCTGTACAAGCTAGTTACATTGTTCATTTTGCCCACATACTGTCTATGTCTTATATAACAGAGATGTGACATCTGAGGGCTGTATGTGCATAGGAAGACACGCTGAGCCATGTTTTAATCAATGAGAGTGCTGTGAAATCCTGCTAAGGCTTAACAGCAGCTGCGGCATTAAGTACAACATGTAATAAAAATAATTTTTGCCAAAGTTTCACCTACAGACAACACCTTCTATTTTCTGGTGACTCAGAATTATCACAGAAATACTCTGTCTTCAAGAAGGAGAGCAAGGGGAAGTTGTAAGTGTAGAACATGTTGGTGATGAGCTCTTGTTTCCACAGAATCTGTTCAGACAGCAGCAGAAGATCCTGCAGCAGGCCAGAGTTGTGCAGAACCAGAAGCTGAAGACTGTCAGAGAGCTGTATGAGCACTTTGTGAAGGTGACGCCTTTCCAAGCCTCTGTGCTCACTGTCTGATCTGAATGTTGTTTCAGTGTTGGTCCTGTGCTGTGCTGCGTTCTGCTACCTGTCAGTCTCTGGGCACGCACTGAAAGACCAGAGTCTCCAGAAAGAGATCTATCCAAACTCAGCTTATACATTTCACATCACGTTCATGTAATCTATTTTTAGGTAGTAGTTGTTATGTGGGGCAGTAGTAGAGTTCACTCTAGTATTTACAAAAGAAAGTTAACAATAAAAGAAGTTGAGGTGTTACAGTAGATACACAGGCAGTGATGTCACTTTCCTAATAAAGGCCATAGAGGAATTAAAAGTATGAAATACTTTTACTAAGGTCTTAAATACCTACTGGCCTGCAATAGGCAGCAGTGTTTCTTAGAAAATGTTTTTCTATCTGATTTTAACAAAAGACAGGCTGGAAAATCCCCAGTGATATTGTTCCAGGCCTTAGTCAGATTATTTGCTTTTCACTGGTTAATCCAGATTGTGTTTAATTATTTCTTCATAAGGAAGTATTGTTATATACTGCTGAGACATGCTGGATGTGATAGAATTGTCAAATGTGATGTAGATATGGTAGGTACAATTACTTAGTCAGTGTAAACCAATAAAACCGGTTCCTCCCTGCATTTCCTCCAGAACATGGAGGACATGGAGAAGAGCCATGAAGCTTTCCTGCAGGGGGCACAACAAGAGCTGAAGAAGGAGATGGCCACCCTGCAGAAGAAGATCCTCATGGACACAGTGAGTTCAGTCAGTTACGGTGGACACACAACTGGGATTCCATGACTTCTAAGTCATGCAGTGGGTCAGTGGACCATTCATTTCCTCTGCCCTTTACCAGAATCCGTTGCTTTGGTAGTTTTAAAAGCAATGAATGGATTTGGGTGAAATGTTTTGGAGAGGTAGGGTACGGCTCACAGAACAATCCATTGTCAGTGTGATTGATTTGTTCAGCCATAAATGATGCAAACTGTAGGCATTTTCAGAGCTGGTGAGAGCACTGCCTATGTAGAACATGTGCTGTGCAGCAACACAGTGACATGACATCATATACAAGCAACCCATAGAGCACACTAACAAGAAAAAAAACCAGAGTTACACATACATATTGTATAATAGAAGTTATCCACTGCTGACTACAACAGGTGCATTTGCATTTATTTACAATAGGTACATGTAATTAAATTTGATTGTCAAATTTTTGCCATGTGAAACAGAGCTACAGTACAATCTGTTTCTCTGCCGTCTGTTGATAGTGATTAATTATAATGTTTGAAGATTAACTGTAGCTTTTGGCCTTGAACTTTTATATCAGAGAATAGAGTAGAGCAGAATAAATGTGTGTAGCCCCACAGAGTTTATTATTAAAATTGATTAGCAGTGTATGCATGCTAGGTGTACTGTACAAAGTACCACAGTAGTAGTAAAATACACCAGCAAACAGAAATATGAATAACACATACAGGACTTAAAATAAAATGAGACAAATATAATACAAAAATCAAATGGAATAAAATACACAACAGTAACAGACGATAAAACAAATGAGGCTTGTTGAAAATAAAACAATGTACTAACAATAAAAAGCTTTTTAGAAATAATTGAGAAGACGTCACAGACCATGGTGTTTCCTGATGTCCACTGTGTTTTGTCTATGCCTGTTTCCATAGCAACAACAGGAAATGGCCACAGTCCGCAAGTCGCTGCAGTCCATGCTGTTCTGACCTGATGTTTTCATGGCAGCAGAGCCTGTTCCTGATGCATTCTGGGTTGGTTTTGCCATAGGTACTGCAGGGTTGACATGGTTACATACCTCCTCTTAACAGTATTTAATTGATGTACATGCTGTTTTCTGTTTTATGGGGGTACATCTGTTTGTGATTTCAGCAGCTTGTTTAATGAAA